TAAAATTACTTTTACGAAAATCTGAAGTAGATAATTTAGAAGATTTAGTTAAAGTAGTTCAAAATTCAACTTCTGGTGGATATAATATTGCACAAACAATTTTTGATAATGATGAAAATCAAGTAGTACATTTTTATGAATAGACAGATTGGTTAAAACAACAATTTACAACAATTCCAAATATTTTAAAGCAACATTATTTTGAATTTAATAGTTTATTTCAAGGACAAGTTAAAATTAGTACATCATCTTATGGAGAAAAAACTACAATTCATATTGAAAAAACTAAAAAACAAAATAATTTTAATCAATTAATTGAAAAAAAATTATCAGGTCTTAGTATTGAATGACAATGGTATTTATATGAACAAATAAGAAATCATATACAAAATCCAAGTAAAAAAGATAATCTTTGTCCAAAACCTAATGTAACTAAAATAAAATCAAAATAAATATTTTATAAATATAAAAATTTTAGTTTATAACTATTTTTCACCTAGTATGTTATATAATATTCTATTTTGTTTATTTATTTATTTATTTGATTTACTAATATAGCTTTATAGCTTTACATATAAAAAAAAAATAACTTTTAACTCTATAATACTGTATATGTCGTGGCTATGCCACAGCGAAGCAGATCTACATATCGTTGCAAAAATTCTATATAGTAGTAAGTATACTGTATTTCATGTAACACATTTACCCCACATTTTTTTATCCATTGACATTTGAACATGTTGGTGCATAATGACCAACTTGTTTGCATTTATGACACCTTCTAACCTTTTTTTCTAAATCTTCATTATTTGAAGCTTTAGTTACCTTTCAGATTTCGTCTTCATTGCTTTGATCAGTACCTTGAACAATACGTCAAGCTTTTCTTAAAGGTTCACCACCAGATTTATATCTATTTGGCTGTCGACCTTTATGTGGTACGTGTAAAGGATCTCTAATGCTTAAGGAACTAGCATTGTCTTGTGTACTGAACAAATCATTTTTCGCGTCTTCAATAAAATCTTTCAGGTGACTAACAAATTCCTCAACTCTGTCAGCCTGAATTGCAAGATCAAGAGCTTTTTTGGCATAACCCATTCCGAATCCATATTTTTGTTTAGGTCCTTGTGGCTGTTCGACATTATGTGTTTGATTAAATCCTACTAAATGTTAAAACGTTAAGGGTTGGAGTAAAGGTAGTTTCGATTCTTTTCCAGCAAAATGCTAAGTTGGTATATTCTCTTGACTGGTATTATATTTGCAGTTATTATACCAGCATCGAGAAATTAATGAAATGTGAAAACATACATTAGTTGAGTAAGACATAACATGAAAAAAGTGCCGGCACACTATTCCTTTGTTAATTAGCAAAAGGCAAGTGCACAAATGTGAGCCGTCATTAAAGAGAATTATAGGTTGTGGTTCTGAGTTTTGTACACTATATCTAATTGCTTTCCACACTTCTTTAACAGAATCACTAGGTATTTTTTCTAGCAATGATGAAAATAGTGATTGTGGTTGGTCATAATCATCTTCTCTGGCTATATTTTGTTGATAAGAATCGTCTGTCATCTATACCAAAGAGAAGTTCGTTAATGATATGTTGGTTACTTTTTGTTATACTATAATTTTCTTAACTAACTTAATAAACCTTACCTCCAGTAGTGATTGCCAGTCATTAATTAAAAACACATCATAGCATAGCGACTGAGCTATTTGATCATGCTGCTTTTGAAGAATTTGTGATGTTAAATACTCTTTTAAAATTGTATCTAGTCCGGGAAAGTATTCATCACTTATACTTGGCATCCCTCTTGTTGGAATTTCGTTTTTATATTCACTTAAAATTGCTTTTTTTGATTGATTATTGAAAACTTTTTGAATTTCTTCAACAACATCAGCTAGACGTGAAGTTCTGGTCAACTTGTCCTTAATTATTTTATTACATACTTCTGCTCGCTGTGTACTTTGAATCCTGACGGTGAAGTTTCTATTGATCACATAACTGGCCCAACTACTCTTACAAGGATATAAAGTTCTTATAAGATAGTTTTTACTATCTGGGTATTCGTTTATAAGTGTATTCCATTGGGCTTCAAATTTATTAGGGCAAAGTGAATTATGCATCACTAAAAATTTAGAACAAAATGATTCAAACTGATCTCTCAACTTTCCTTTAAGCTTTTTTCTTAAATTTAGATCAATATGAAATATGCAGTGAAGATGCCATGTTTCTGGGTAATTATTTCTTATGGACAATATTAATGCTGGATCAGCATCAGAATATAAGACTATCGGAGAAGCATCACAAGAGTTTTTTAATTCTTGGAGAACCCATGTGAATGTTGCTTCTGTTTCATCTTCTAAAAGCACAGCAGCTATTATTAAATTCCAAAAGTTATTGTCAACAACTATAACTAACATTAATATCATATCAAATTGATTGGTTTTAGATATTGTATCAACGATTACAACATCCGGATATTTATTATAGGCATTAACTTGATCAGAGGATATCCAGAACAACGAATTTAATCTTCTTTCATCCGGCTCAAATCGGGGCTTTATTATCCATCTTGGATCATTATCTTTTTTTAAATATAATGTGGTAAGCATATTACATGCATCATTTTTATCTGGCTTTACTTGTTTTTTAAATCTTTGTATCATGTTACTTAAATCTTTTTTATTTATTACTTTTTGTGGAAATGATGCAACTAGTAGATTATATTGAGTCGCTATACCCATTCTCCCATGAATTGTCCAAAATTTAATTTTTTCCAACATTTCATCTGTTAATTTTCTAAATTTTGGTGCTATTTCAGCAATGAGAGGGTTCATTTCGTGATTATGTTCACTGATTATGCTATTAACCTGAATTTTATCAGCTGATTTAGGAAAAGCAAAGATAATGTGCCAGGAGCACCCGGTCATATGTGATTCTTGATCCCTTCTGTCCTCTTCTAGAACTGCCTTTTGAGGTTCATGTGCACTGGCATAAGAACATTCATATGTACGATGTCTTATAATAGTATTATCCTTTGGATCTAATGTACGCCTTCTTTTACGTATAGTGAATCCTTCCTGTTTTGTATAGTCATCAAGGAATTTTTCAGCTAGGTTCCATATGTCAAACTTATTTTCTGTATTTAATACTAATTTTTTTATTTGTTCGTTATCATCATCATCGACATCGTCGTCATCATCATCATATTGAATTAAATTCTCATCATAAATTGGTTCTTTTAATTGAACTTCATCAACTATTCTAGCATCTACTGAAGTATTATCAAATATCTCTGCATCTTTATACAAGCATTCGTTATCTATTTCTGGATGGTAACCAGAACATTCTTCACCATATTCGCAAGGATATTGAAAACATAATAAACTGAATGAATCACTGTAAAAGTCACCCTCCATTTATAAGCAAAATGATAAATTATTTTGACAAGGTAGAGTAGTTTGACACAGTATAATAGCAAATCTTATACAGTAACACAAGTAATATTAACTTTACAAGTATCTCTTTATATAAGATGTGGAACGCACTTATACAGTATATCACAAGCGATAATATGTTGAGATGAGTTTTATTTAAAATATTGGAATGGATAGTTTTTTGATTTGATTACAAAGGCAATTCAACACTCTTTATATAACATCAAATAATGCTCATGCGATACATTTTTACTGAACTAATAAAATAGGGTTTAAGAAATAATAAATCCCTTTACTGCACACATGAACAAAGAGGCTTCATTATAAGTTTTCTATTTTTGCTTTCTTTATTCTAAATTTAGTCACTAATCATAATGCCTTTTTTTTCTTACATATTATATCATTAGATGTTACTTATTATTAATTTACTATCTTCATACCCGAACAACGTACGATTTACTCCAGTAATCAAATGTTCACGACAAGTACAAAAATTAAATTCATGGGCAATTAATTTGGAAAGACAATTCGTGGACTCACTCAAATGGGTTGTATTTTTTTCTTTTTACTTAGCATATCATATGATGTTATTTATAATCAATTTATCATTAATTTAATGTCTTCATACTTGAATATCACACGATTTACTCTAGCAATCGAATGTCCATGGCAAACATGGAGATCAAATGCATGGGCAATTAATGCGGAAAACAACATGAGAATGCACTCAAATCAGTTGTATTTTTTCTTCTTACCTGGTATATCATATAATGTTATTAATACAGTTTATAATTAATTTAATGTCTTCATACTTGAACATCATATGATTTACTCCAGCAATTGAATGTCCATAGCAAATATGGAAATCAAATTTATAGGCAATTAATTGGAAAGCGATGCGGGGATGCACTTAAGTGGGTTGTATTGTGCATTAACTATTTGATTTTGCATTGTCTTGATATGTTCGTATCAATATTAAGTACAATGGTACATGCACGCATGCACATAAGTATCTGCTTTGGTGCATTCCCAAATATGGAAAAGGCTGTAGATTATAGCAACATATTGATTTTTTTTCAGTTTTCTTACAGTGCATGTTGTTGAAGGTGTCATCGTACGTACGTAGGTGCCATAATTGTTGTTATTGCCAATGTAGTCTTTGCATTCGCCTTTTGGTTGTGCTTGCCATCGCTTATTATTTTCAGTTTATGGGTTTTCTTTCTTGTTGTTTCACCAGTGGTGCTTAGTGGTACTTCACTTTGATGGTGTTGAACTATCCATCGATCATCATCATTTGAATTTCATTTACTGGTGCTATCGTTTGTTGGTGTCAATATTATTGTTATTGGTTGTTGGCAGTGGTGTTGCTTGGCGATTAGTGTTGTTAGTAGGTAGAGATTAGGGCAGAGTCAGGAGGCTAGATTATTAGTTAGGCTAGGGTTGGGTTAGAATTATCTTCAAAAACTACCGATCGCGATGCGAATGAAATGATTGTGCATAATGATAAATATGTTTTTGATTTGTATACTTTGTTTTATTGGTTTAATTCAGATGATTAATAAATTTTGCTTCTATTTACACATTCTGAATGGTATAATGTGAGTGAAATAATTGAAGGGTTATGTCACCAGCAAATTACAGAACGATTTAATTGGAGAAAGCATAGGTATCTATTTCTTGACTTTGTGAACTTGTTTTGCTCTTTTTAGTTCAAATAATTTTATACACACGTTCTTAACAATTAATCGATTAGTTAGTTAATCAATTTGTTGACTAATCGATTAGTTATTGATTAGTTGTTTTATACAGTATCATACTTTGATCTTGCATTTAGTGGCTATGCAATTACATCCAAGCTATTTTGATGTATCACCTAATCGATTAGCCAATTAATCGATTAATTAACTAATCAATTAATCAATCAATTTCTAACCGATTTTTAAGGCCACCTAATTGATTGCATTTTTTTGTTTGATTTGAAATATTCGTATAAGCACGAAATAATGCGCAGAGGTGTAATTTCGAATTTTGGCCTAAATTATGCCTAATTCGGGCCATTATTCAAAATAACGCCCCTGCGCATTATTTCAGGCTTATATGGGCGAGAGAAACCGAACAAGAGAAAAAGCGAGTAGCCATAATTAAATATAATTCTCATTGTGCAGGAAACTTAGGTATTAATTGAGAGGACAGCTTAAGAATCCTGTAGTTAGCTTTTATTTAGTATTAGTTAAAATGTTTGTTGGGAAAGTAATATTTAATAATCAAGTATATAGTTGATATAAATAAAACTAGTTTTGATTCTTTCGGCTCTGTTTATGGCCCCGTTTCCGACCTGATTTCTGAACTAGGTGATGTCATCTAGGGTGAAAGTTAGCAATAGTCAAATTTTTTAATACATTTAACTAAAAAAATACATTTTAAAAAAATCATTTTTAATAATCTAATTTTTTTATAAATTTTAATGGATTAGGTTAAAAAATTACAGTAAGTAGTTTTTGAACCAAA